TACCAAAGGAATCAAAGGTTACAAAGGAATCAACAGTTACAAAGGAATCAATGGTTATGTTACGACCAGAAATCCTGCCAGACTCCAGGCAGTAACTTATACGCACCAGCACCCTGTATGCACCAATTGTCAATTTACCGGAATGCCTCCATCCGTCAGACCTGTCCATGCTCAACCTCCATTACTTCATGTATCAGTCACGGGAATACCTGCCGGACTCCACTCCTGACTATCTCTGACCCTGTCCCATGTACCAGTCACCAGACTTCTCTCAGAATACCTGTCAGCTCTCTAACTGAGCCCTGTTCCCGTGGACTCCACTCCGCTCCATTCCGTTCCTAACACCAAATCTGGTGTTTACTTATCTCATTTTATGTTTGCTAGTTTCATTTTCATTATTACTGGATTTGGTATGTTATTCATTCCACAGTCTATATAGTCTGGCAGATGTTGTACAGTCAGAAAATCAGCTTAGATTCTCCCCAGTAATCTCAGTCTATTTTCCTCTCTAATCTCCTCTTTGAAACACACCGCTCTTACTCATCAGAGCCCACGGGCTCTGACTCATCTATCTCTCGACCTCTGACTTGACCCTCGACCTCCGACATATCACCTACTCCCCGGACTCCCTGGGATTCCCATCTGCCTGTTTGAAATTGGACAAGATGATCTCACGAGGGCACAGCCTATAAGCTGAAGCCATGTCCTACCAGAACATCCACGGGTTCCCCAGAACCCTCCATTAAGCTCCATTCTTAACAGTTACAAAGGAAACAACAGTTACAAAGGAGACAATGGTTACAAAGGAGACAACAGTTACAAAAGGAAACAACAGTTACAAAAGAAAGAACAGTTCCAATGGTTGAATTGACTGTCAACTGCAAGTAATTACTGTGCTCATCTGATTTATTTATTTTGATTTAATGTATTTTTGATTTACTGTTCCTCGTTGCTACGCTCATCACTCGCGAGATGGGTATCGGGTGATCCTTCGCGAAGTTGGACGATGCTTTTCGAGAGCGGACTGCGGCTTGGTTGGCCCTTGCGGATTTACGGGCTGAAGTGAGAACGGGAGCGGCTGGGGGATACGCCGGGTGTACGCGGTGCGAGGCGAGAGTGAGAAGCTGGATGGTGCGTTCAGGTTTTTAAAGAATGGTGTAGAGCGGGTATCGGTGGTGAAGGATGATGTGTGGCTTGCAGGAAGTGAGGACTCCATGAATGAAGATGATATTCCAGGGGTTTCTTCGAATTGGATACGTCCCGTCCGTCGCCTACAGAATGGCCTTTCCTACACTCTCACTACTATAGACGTAATATTTGTCGTCGTTATCGCTTCAACTCTCGCTCTCTGGTTCATCCAGCGCGCCGCCGCCAGTGTAGGCAGAGCGACGGACATCCGCCTGAAGTCGGGTCTCGCAGCGGCCGATCGAGTGTTCACAGCCGTCAATAGTCGCGGTGAGATAATGGAGGAGCCTCTCGCTACACGTTTGCATCAAGTTCAATCACAAAGTTATGGTCATTGTAAAAAAAAAACGTCATTAAAAAAAAACGTCATGTACCTGAATATGTTCCGGGACCCTAGCTTGATGCACCCTTGCTAGAGACAGACGCGTCATACATGGACTCGGGCGATGTTTGTGGCCCATATGGAAGAGGGATTGTGTTAGATAGAAGAGACGAGGGTGTCCGACGTGGTAATGAAGAGTCGGAATGGGAGGATAGTTGGACACGCGCAGAACGATGGCTAGCATGTGGGCTCGACAGGAGGGTAGATTGCAGATGACAAAGATGGAGGGTCCCCACAGCGGCAGTTTCCTCTTTGCTCTCTGTCAGACAGTGTCTTCGTCTCCCGCTATTATGTATGTCCCAATTGAATCTGAGCGCAGAGACATAGATACCCGCCAATTTTGTTGAGCACGTGCACGAGACTACGACCGGGGTTTGCAGGGCGACTTTGCTTGCTAGGCGGCGTATTCGTTCATGGTGTTTCGAACCCACCCAGATTCTTCCTGTTCCCGTGAACGGAGTGGCGATCAGACATATGAGGGACTGAGAAACACTTGTGAGATGTGCAAAATATGGCAGACTATCGGGACGGATGTGATCTGGGGTATCAGAACAACTCCGCCATTTGAGGATTCGATGTGCATTCTCAGGGGGGCCACAACACTCTGCGGGAATATTTTGGTGTGCAGCAGAATATTACATATCCTCAACAAGAGCCACGATAGCGACAGCCGTGCTTGCTGAATTCCATAACAATATATGTCTGTGTAGCTACAATTCTACCTGAATCCTATCATTATTATTCTTTTGATTTCTGGAGATTTTACAGTAACCAGTACATTGCTTACCTTCGAACAAATGAAGATTAGTGTTCCCCCACACAGGCGGTTGGATGCTGGATGAGACTTGAGGCTCTCGTTTGAAGGGAAACAATAAGGCTGTCAATCTGCAGAGCCAGTAGGCTTTGGTTAACACGAGGAGGGACCATTTTTGTTCAAAAGTTCCAAAGTGATATACATAGTGGTGTCCAAATTGCACCTGGTATCCTTGTTTTAGCTCTCATTTTTTAGCCGAGTTCATAGACTTCGCTACAGTTCCTGCGTGACGTTCGGCAAGGAAAGGAATCTATTGCGTCGCTACTCCTCTTTCATACAACCTGCCAGGGGATCAGGCCGTGCTCAAGCCAAAGAACGAATGAGCCAGAGGTCCAGGGGACTGAGAGGTTGAGTGCTGGGAACAGTCCAAGGAAGTGCAGCAAGGTTGAGGACGCGTTAATTGGAGGAGCCAATGTAGAATAGGTAAGCCTCATTGCCAGAACCCCTGAGGTCAATTGTCGGTTGGGGGGAATGCAGGAGTGGGATGTGGCCATGGGACCTTGAAGTCGGAATGTTGCTGTACATGTAAACTAGGAAGGGGGCACCGGGGAGTTGAGTGTGAGGAGCAGGGGCTCAATGCCAAGTATAGTAAGGATGAATTTTAGCGCACAGTCAGAGCCTGTCATGAGGCGGATTAGTAAGTAAGTCCAGCGTCGGTTGGAGGAGCAGTTGTTCGACGCCACGTGTAGTAGAGATAAATTGCATTGGTCAATCGAAGGCTGTCAAGGATAAGTCATTATTATGTCCAGCGTCGGCTTTCAGGAGCAGCGGCTCGATGCTCATCGTCGCAGTGATGGGTTTAAGCGGCCAATCGAAGACTGTCAAGGTACAATTGTGTCCAGCGTGGCATTGGAGGAACAGTGACTCGGTGCCAATCGTAGTAGTAATGAATTTGAGTCGACTAATGAAGACTGTGAAGGGACAAAGCAGTGTGTCCAGGATTGTGTTTGAGGGGAAGCAGCTCGGAGTCATGAATTTCAGCGAGCGAGTACTCGATAGGCATGGGATACACAATTGGATGGAGGGGCCGAGCCCAAGATATAGTGATACCACGTGCGATTTAGATGAGACTGTTGGTGATTGGGATAACGACAAATTGATAGAATCTGTATTACATGATGTGGACATTGCTAATAATTTTGAAGATGCAATTGATGGCATGACCAAAGAATCAAATGGGGATAGACGGTCTCTTCAGGCGAGGTTGGCGCGGAAGGGCATCATGCGCCAGACATGAGAGTCTGCGTTTGATATGTCCTGCACGATTTCCCCACGCATTCTCAGGGAACTCGAGCCTACCTGAATGGGAAAGTGTTCACCGTCGGTAGCCAGGGTGGGAGAAGGTTGGCGGGAACGTGAGATAGCAATGCGAAAAATGAACTAACTCGAACGCCCCGAAGACTATCGAGGGCGAATTGAGACAAGACGAGATGAAGGGAAAGGGCGGAGTGAGAAGTGACACATCACGACATCAAAAGGGAAACACAAAGTGGCTTTGTCTGTCATGTCACGTGCCTCCATCTTTTTTTTTTTGTTATATTTGTATCCCGCTTCAAGCAACAATGGCTAACTGCGGCTAGGGGGTGGAAAGGCCCCCAGCTCAACTATGCTTAGTAAGAAGTTCCGAGTGAGCTACGTGGCTACGATGGATTTTAGAGGGCTCGAGTCAGGGTGGGGACGGCGTAAGTCGGCGTACGGAGTCGGATGTAGCTGGAAGGAGAAAGGAAAGAGAAGACCGGGAGAGGGATATGTACATCGGCCATGCCGTTCAGGGACAATCTGTTGTGGAGGGATTGGGGGAGAGGTGTGGGGCGAGCGGGGGAGTCGGTGTCGCAACGGAACGAGGAGGCTCTATTCGTAGGGGCGTGGTGCAAAGGCAGAGGTTTGGCAGATAAATTTTGCAACTGCTCTGAGCCCAGACTTTTACCCAGCAGAAAGGCCAGGTCGAGACCGCGTGGGACCTTCCGTAGGGGCCCACGCCAATCTTCGTAGAGGGGGCAGCTCTTTAAGATGTGGTCGCGCGTTTGGAGGGGTGCATATCCACAAAGGCATGCAGTGGGCAGGTTGGGGAGGAAGCGGTTGTAGTATTCCCCAAGGAAGCCGTGCCCAAAGATTGCTTGAATGAAGCGAGTGTGCTGTGCACGGGAACCGGTGAAACCTTTGTGGATGGCAGCGAGTTTGAGTGAGGGTGGTTTGGTGAGGACGAGAGCGGAAGCATTAGTGTGTGGCTTGGCTGCCCACTCTTTGCCCCATTCTTTGACTGCGTGGAATTTGTCATGTGCCTCCATCAGAGAACCTGGACAAATAAATTCGTCCAAACTAAGCTACATCGTTAAAAATATTTCACGTGGAAGGAAAAAGAGATATGTATCTAATTCACTAGGAACTTGGTCGGAAGTGTTGGTAATCAACCTGACATCCCTAGAATATTATAGGATATTTTGGAATATACTTAACATAGCTTTAGTAATATCTCTGTCATCCCTTCCAGAACCTTCTTCCCTGTAGATATATATCATCCCCAGTAGTTCACTCATAGATAGAAGCCAAGTTATATCTACTGTGGTCTCCGCAAGTTCCCAATAGGAAGGACCCCGTGATTTAAGAAGATAAAAGTGTAGCCTCAAGCAGGAATTGAACCTGCAACCTCACGACTCTTACCCGGTAAGTAAGAGTCTTATACTCTACCGATTGAGCTACCAAGGCATGAGATCCACATCGTGACACATGTTGCACCACGACACCACCGTTGTTACGTTCTGCATTTGAATCTGCTATCTTTTCCCCCATTCCAGGCTTATTTGTCATATTACACCTTGACTTTGATGTACTAGTATTCACAGTGTGAAAAGGATAAAGTCATAAGGTTAACTCAATATATCTTGGGATGTGAATCTTAACTTCTATATAGTCCTGCATATGCATGTTTAGTACTTAATGGCTTGTTCCATAATTCTTAAAATATTTCATGCATTTCAAAAAAAAAAGATATATGTAGGAAGTGATTTGACTGGATAAAAGCACAGCCTTAGACAGGAATCGAACCTGCAACCTTAAGACTCTTACAGTAAGAGGGACTGTAAGAGTCTTACACTTATAGTACCTGTATATGCGGCTACAAGATGTTTCATAAGTAATAGGATAATAGTAAATGATTGCACACATACCTCAGTGAGTGAATAACTTTCACTGAGGTATATGGCGAATTTTGTGTCCTTTTATTTACTTTGTAATTATTTAGGGGAGTCTTTAGGAGAGTAAAAAAGAAGAAATTTAGATACTCGAAGTTTCTAGCTAATTGCATCATTAAAGGAGAGATATATAATCAAAGGAGTTAGTTCCCCCTTATGGCACCATAGTATATGTGCATATATGCGCATACACTCGTCATTGCGGATTCAATCCCAGTCTCGGTTTATGTGAAGACTTGTATTATTAACATGAGCTACCAAAGCACAGTTGATAAGGTCCACATGGTAACACATGCAGAACCACAGCACTACTGTTGTGATGTTCACTGGGATAACCCCCCTCTCCAAAAGAAATTCAGGATCCTTAGTAGAGCCTTATTTTATATAACCTCCAACAATCGTCCATTGAATTGTCATAAGAGTTAAAATTGATAAGGGATCTTTTGAGGATCCAAACGTTTGTTGAATTCGAAACCCTGCAATCACATGTTTGGTTATGGATCTTTAAGGATCCAAAAGCTTATTGGATTCTAAACCTGCCAATCACATGTTGGATCCTTAACTGAGTTAAACTTGCTCAAGGATCCGATGAGTGATTGGCAAAGTTTATATAACATAAACATCTACTAAAGATGCTAAATAATTTTGGAACAAGGGCTTTTCCCAGTGGTTCTGCATTTGAATCAGCTATTTTTTCTCCCATTCCAGACTGATTTGTCCTACTACACCTTGATTTTGTTGTACTTCCACCAAGCCTGAGGATTGAGCATTCTTTGGTCATCCCCCATACTCATCTATGTATAATGCCTGATGGTATTTTTGTGAGGTTAGAAATGAGTAAACAATACTTCATCTGGGAAACTTTATAATTCTCCTTGGCTAGATATCTGTTTTCATAGGCTCAGAGTGTGGGGGCAACTGTCAACACTGCTGAATGTAGATGTTCACACAAACATGGACTGCCATGACACCGAGTCAGAAGTCTGTTTAAAGGGGAGGGCTTCTCTGTGAGGGAAAATCTAGCATGAGGGAACACCCAGCCTAGACAGCATGGGATTAGATGTGTAGGTTTTTGGTTCTAGGGATTATATTAAATGGAAACCAATGAAAGTAGATAAAGGTGTTTGGATACAGCATCCAGCTCTCACACTTTTTCAGCTCTTCCCCCAGGAGAATCTATGAATTACATGGTAATGGCCCAATGCAGCATCGAACTGAATTTGAGATGCACATTGGATGCAAATTGGGATTACAGATGGTGCATGATCTTGGATGAGGTTAGACAAATTCCAGGTACACCAAGCCTTTCTGGACTATCAAGCCAAGCCCCAATATTCATAGCTCTCTTCTTTGGGACCATCTCTATAACTCTACAGACAGGCATAAGTCTGATACATACATATATCTGCTATCAACCTGTCAAGCTGGGTTGATCAATGATCATGCCATTATAGATCCACATCATGAAGCTAACACCAACACTGGATCTGCTCCCTGCTGTTTCTGGTGAAGCAGAATCATCAATGGCATATGTCATATGGAATGCCTAGCTACATCTCCCTTCAGCTCATTGAATGGATACTCTAAGGAATTTGGATTCAGTGGTGAGGGAAAAGTATCTTAGAGGATGAATCAATGACAAGGAGGGAGCCTTCCCAATATCTGCCTATCTTTAACAATTCAAACATCACACGCACTGCTCTATTCCCCACATGCATGCCACTGAATGTATAAGGATATTTATCACCCCAAGTTTCCAGAACAACCCTAATGCATGGTATCCTCCATGGAGTGCTAGGCATGGCTTCAGTGGTATATTCGAATTGCTCAGAGAATATGGAAGTGAAAGAGGCCATGAGTTCAGCAGGAGGAGAGACAGCATACTAAGCTTGTAGGTTCAGGCACAGATTGGCCTGACATTGGTGAATGAGGTAATGAGGATGACATGTTAAATTACAGAGGTGATTGGGATAGTGCTGGTCCTGTGTGTTGGATGAGTGGATAAGCTTTGATGGCTGCTTCAAGATTTGGTGTCATGCACTGGGGCATGGCATACCAGGTAGAGAGGTTAACAAGGAAACTGATGTTATCAGAAAGAATTGTATGAACATGAGAAAAATGGATTGTTTGGGAGAATCAAAGTGTATGTAGTTTGTGAAATAGACCAATAGCATCTATAGAGGATATTCACAATTTATTACATAAATATACAAAATGTTATGGAAATGTCCTCATATTTTAGGAGTTTACAAGGCTATGACTCATGGGGGGGGGGTTATGACTGGAAACCCCACCAGACTCCGGGCATTACCCTATACACACCCACACCCTACACACACTAGTTATCAGTTTACTGGAATACCCACTGGGACCTGGACATCAATCCTGCTCATGCCTGACCTTCCCTGTCTCATGTATTAGTCACCAGAATACCCACCTGGGACCCGTGCATGTCTGTCCTGTCTATCCCCGACCCTGTTCCATGCATCAGTCACCAGACTCCTCTTGGAGAACCCATCAGCTCTCTAACTGAGCCCCATTCCTGTTATGGACAAATGACCTATCACATTTTGGACTCCACTCCTGCTCCATTCCCATTATGGTCTAATGACCTGTCATGTTTCGGACTCCACTCCACTCCGTTCCATTCCTAACACCAAACTTGGTGTTTACTTACCTCATTTCATGATTACTTGTTTGGATCTCATTATTCCCAGATTTGGTACTGCATACACTCAACAGTCTATATAAACTAGCTAATGTTGTACATACAATCCAGTCAGAAAATCAACTAAGTTTTCAGCTTAAGATTTCCTGCTCTATTCCTCTCTTTGAAACACACCACTATTTATCCTGTCAGAGCCCACAGGCTCTGACCTATCTATCTCTACCTCTGACTCTACCTGTTACTTGACCCTCAACCTCCAACCCTCAACCTCCGACTCGACCTGTTACTCGACCTCTGACTTATCACCTACTCCCAGACTCCCTGGGATTCCCATCTGCCTGTCTGAAATTGGACAAAATGATCTTGCGAGGGCACAGCCTATGAGCTGAAGCAACATCCTACTGGAATATCTGTGGGTTCCCCAGAACCCTCTGCTAAGCTCCGTGCACTCCTTAACAGTATTTTCTGACCAAGACTTGCAGATTGTGTCAATATGCCACCAAGAAGAAAAGCGCACGTACAAGAATCATTACTTGGACCATCGACTCTTCATTGCCCACTTACTTTGTATACCAGCCAGACACTCACAAACCAGCCAGACACCATGGAAGAGGCCCATATCGAAGAAGTCCTGGAAAACCCAGATGAATCCAAGCACAAGGAGAAGTCTGTGGCCCCCGACAAGGGCAAAGGTGTTGAAAATTCCCCATCTAATGATTGACGGCCACTTTCAGATCCCACTTCTGAGTATTTAGCAATCACCTTAGAAATATTGATGAATCACATGCTCAGAGAGGGTAAAAAGAAGGATCCGGAACCTCCACGGTCAAAAGTCAATGCTCCAGAACCCTTCATGGGTTCCAACCCCAACAAAATTTCCACTTTCCTCATGCAATGTCACTTCCATTTCCGCAATCAATCTGCCACATTCTCCACAGACTCCCGAAAAGTCAATTATGCACTCTCATACCTCTCGGGATCCATGTTGAAATGGTTTGAACTGGCTTTTAGCAGACTTTCCGAGGAAGAGCCACTCTGGCTTGAAGACTGGACGTGTTTGTTGAAGAGCTAGAAACCAACTTTGGCCTGTATGACCCTACCGGAGAAGCCGAGAATAGTCTCACCAATCTTCATATGAAGGACACCCAGCGCATCATGGACTACATTGTCCAGTTCAACAATCTTGCAGCTTGTTGTCAGTGGGGCAATCCCGCTCTCTGCAACCAGTTCTATGCTGGTCTGCCATCCCACCTTAAAGATGAAGTCTCAAAAGGAGAAGATGGCAAGCCAAAAACATTGTTCTGTATGCACCTCAAGGCTCAAAATGTGGATGCATGCTATTGGGAACATCATGTGGACGTTGCCTGCGAGACCTCCATGGACAAGGTCAACAAGTCCACAGCTAATAAAACCAACAACAACACTCCATCCACTAGCAACCAAAATTCCATGCAATCTGACAAGAAGAACAATAAAAAGTCTTCTAACAACAACAACAACAACAACAACAACAAAGGTCAACAGTCTGGCAAGCAAACTGGAAAACCCGACCTCACAGGCAAGCTCAGACCCAATGACAAACTGACCCCACAAGAAAGACAATGTTGTATGGACAATAACCTTTGTCTCTTGTGTGGAAAACCCAGTCATCGAGTTCCAGAATGTCCATTGGCGAAGCAAACTATACAAAAGGTCAAACAGCCAAAGCCTCCTCCATGGAAACTCCATTGAAGGACAAACCGGCTTCTGACTCGAAAAAAGAGTAAGCAATCCCATGGACTCTGCAAAAAGCTGACCGGCTTCTGGCCCACAGAGAGTACGACTTAAAAATCGACCTTGAAGAAGGC